CCAGTTTGCTTATCCATTTCCTAGCTGAAGGCTATTTGGTTGTTTCCAGTTTTTGATGATTACAAATATAGCTGCCATAAACATTCACATGCAGGTTTTGAGCGAACATAGGTTTTTATATCATTTGGACAAATATATAGGAGCAGGATTGTTGGGCCATATGGTATGTTTAACTTTATAAGAAACTGCCCAACTTTCCTAAAGTGGCTGTACCCTTTTACATTTTCACCAACACTATGTGAGAGTTCCGCTTGCTCCTTTTTTCCCCCAACACTTGGTGTTGTCAATTTTTTTTAATTGAAACTATTCTAATAGGGGCAAAATGATGTCTGAATATGGTTTTAATTTGCATTTCCCTAATGACTAATAACGCTGAGTGTCTTTTCATGTGCCTACTTGCTATCCATATGTCTTCTGTGATGGAATGTCTGCTTAAATATTTTGCCCATTAAAAAAATTAGGGTGTTTGTTTTCTTATTACTGAGTTTGAGAGTGTAAAGAAAATATTCTGGATAGAAGTCGGATGTGTGACTTGAAAATATTTCTCCTAGTCTGTGGCCTTCGAGAGTGACAGGGGTCATTTCCACAATGAGCAAATTGATTCGGTCTAACCATGTGGTCACTGCAATTGCAAGGGAGGGAGGAAATGCAGTTCTGTCTGTGCCGGGAGAGGTGCAGAACCAGAGATGTTTGGTGAACAGTACTAAGGACCGCCATACACACTGCTCATACTATTTCAGAGTCTGCATAACAATATTTTGTGAGTGTTCTTCCACGTTAGCAAGTATTCCTTTATAGCAGGGATTAGCAAACTACAGGCACAGGCCGAATCTAGTGTATTGTCTGTTTTTGTTTGGCTTGCCAGCTGTTTTTTACAGATGAACATTTGCAATTGATTTAATGATAAGGAAAACCAACTTGCACTTCAGTTAGTTAAAATATTATTAGTCCAAAAAGAATGAGATTGGTAGACCTACATTACAAAAAAATTGTATTCAGTCATTCTAGCATTTTAAATTTGTTCAGAAAAATTTGTGGAAATTTGTTTTCTCTCATTGTTATAAGTTCTACATAATATCCTTGAATTTACCTCTTGGCCTACAAAACCTAAAATATTTACCCTCTCACACTGGAAAATGTTTGCCAAACCCTATTACATAGAACGGTTTTTCAGAGCTGCATGGTATGCTATAATTTTCAATCTTATGTACAGATTGTAACGTTCTTATGCTCATACTGTTCAACTGTATTGTTTCTAGATTTTTCCTATTTAAACAATGCAGTAATATAGATCCTTGCATATATATCACAAAGATAACTGTTGATCATTTCCTTGGAATAGATTCCTAGAAATGGAATTGCTGACTCAAAGGGTGGGTACATTTTGTAGGTTTTGACTCAATATTTCTAAGTAATCTGTCAGGAATATACCATTTCACATTCCCACTTGCAGTGGGTGAATATGCTTATTGGCTTCTATATTTTCCAAAGCTAATGGTATAATTCTATAATATCAGTAGTGATTTAATTGGGGATAAAAGGTCTCCTTAGTGTCATTTTAATTTGCCTTTTAAAAAATTATTAGTGAAACAGCATATCACTTTTTTACATGTTTAAGCCATTTGTATCTCTTCTTTTGTAACTGGCTTCTTCAAGTCCTTTGTCTAGTTTTCTGTGGGATAATTTTTTATTCTTTATTTGCAAGGCCATATTAAACCTAGCCTAGAAACTTTTTTCTCTAAATTTATTTTTATTTTTGTACTCTCTGGTCTAAGTCAGGAGAAACTTTTTTTTTTCCAAGACAGGGTCTCACTCTGTTGCCCAGGCTGGAGTGCAGTGGTGCGATCATAGCCCACTGCAACCTCCACCTCCTGGGCTCAAGCGATCCTCTTGCCTCAGCCTCCCGAGTAGCTGTGGCCCAGAAACTATTCAGGAAAGCTGTCCAGCTTCTTTGAAGGCAAATCTAGTCACTTCCTCTGCTATGCTAATATGTGCTGTGATTTTAAAAGACTTTCTCCTTCAGTCAGTGGATGACATCTGCTGCCTAACAAGAAGGCAAAGCCCCATTTGTCTAATTGGCCAAATCTTGGGATTTGAAAACGTGGCACTAAGAACACTGAAAGATGTGTTGGAAACGAGTCTTCTGGTTTGAGATTCATGAGAATTCCTTGGCTGCCAACCAGACCCAGCTCCAAACAGTGACAGACACATGGTGGAATGTGAGCAGGATTCTGGGAGCACCACCTGGCTATGAGAAGAGTAGAATATTTCTCCATAATTAAAAATGAAATCAAATCAATGTTTTCGAAAGTGTTGAGAAACACATGGGGGTGAGGGACGAGCATACCCATCTTGTTGCTGAGGACTCTGCAGTTCTCGCATGTTGGGATCATTAGTGAGTAGGAGAAGGACGCTAAGTGTGTTAGAGCTAGGCTGACTTGACAGCAGCCAGACCACCCTGCTACTGGGAAGCCATCGTCACTGAAGAGGCTCCGATGTAAGCTCCAATCCTTAGGAGATCCCATAGTCATTCTTTTTGATGTTCATTGTCTTTAAGGTCATGGGCAGGTGGAAGAAGATTTTTTCTAACCTGTATCCTTGTCACCATTGATTTCTGGAATTGCATTTTAAAAATTTCTAGGCAAAGTGTTCACCTTTATTTTGGTTTATTTCTCTATTGACATAATTGACACCTGTAACACTGGAGCTCTGAGAGAATAAATTCTAAATGAGCTCTTTATACTAATTAATAGGTTCATTTCAATTTCCTTGGGTTTGGAGATGTGGGAATATGAGAAAAGAAATCACAGTCCTTGCTTCCAGGCAGCTCACAGACCAGTGAAGTGGGCACCACTGAACCAGTGATTCCACAAAGGGTGAAAAGAGTCTAGAGACTCATGTCCAAGTTGTTCTGGGACCATTTGGAGGGAGCGGGGGTGGAGCATGGTGGTAGGGGAAGGCTTCCCAGAAAAAAAAAACTGAGTTGAGTTATTTTGGGGAGAAAAGGGACTAGCCAAGGCGGTGGAGAGATGGAAAGCATGGTAGGGAGGGGGAGAGCAGGTGCAGGCTATCAGCTACCCCAGCAATCAGCTAACCCGAATATTTCTTGAATTGTTGTGACATACCCAGCATTGCCTCTCATGCTGTGGTACAGCAATGTTTTCTAAATGAGTCTCTGTTGGAATATTTGATGTCTCTCAGAAGTTCACTCTCTTTACCCTACCCCTTAAAAATTCCCAGGCTGGTGGGAATGGAATTGTTAGAAAAGGGAAGAGTAGATAAAATATCACTCCATTCCCTGTTGTGTTGGCAAGTTCACCCAGAAGAAACTGCCAAGCTCAGGAAGATACTTATATATGGAAATGAGTATCTTTTCCCCTGCAAGATGTTTGCTAGCCCTCCACCCTCAACGTAGCTAGCAGAGGCTTCTGTTAATCACATTCATCACAGGCCAGATTTCAATGTGATGTGTGGGCCTATCCCAATCTTCATTCAAGGGAGTTTATCACAGACCTCATTACAACTTAGGTTTTCATGAAGGGCCTTGAAAACAGAGTGAGATAGCCTCACAGACATTGCACAGGGCCAGCTGGGAGCCTAGCCCTGCCTGAAGGATGAAAGTAGAATTGTTCTGGAAAGATGTCAAAATGAACCAGGAGAATAAAAAAAGCTAATATTCGCAGAGCTTTTCATCATTTAAAAATCAATCCCTTCACCCTCATGGAGAATTATCCCCAATCTGCAGATGTAAAAATTGAGGCTCAGGGAGATTGAATGAGTTGCCACTAAAGGGCCTGGACTTGAACCCAGGGCTCTGATTCCAAATATGATGCTTCCTCCACTTATATTATACTTATTGAAATCTCTGTAAAACACATGTTTTCTGTAAAACTCTATGGGACACATCTCTCTGTCTCTCAAAAACCTTCAGTGTGCTTAAAGGTGACATGACTAATAGCTCTGGGCCAATATTATCCTTTAAAATTTGTTGGTCAATTCTTGACTCTTCTATTCTAAATCCAATTTGATTTTACAATTATGATGCTCACCTTTTTTTGAAGTTTGTTCTCTGAACGTTGAGGAATTCATCAAGGTCAGTTTGGGGCAAGGCAGGAAGGAGTTCTTGGCTTATACTGGGGAGAAAATATGTATTTTTTTGGTTCACTGTGGGTTTCCCTAGTGTAAGATCTCAAGTACAACAGCAACCCAGAAATCAGGTCTTCAGAGCAGAATGGGAGATGGGGAGGAAGGGAAGGGAGCTGGTGTCTTAGTCCATTTTGTGCTGCTGTAACAGAATACCACAGACTGGGTGTTTACAAACAATAGAAGTGGATTTTTCTCGTGGTTCTGGAGGCAGGGAAGTCCAAGAGCATGGTGCTAGCATCTGGGGAAGGTCTTCATGCTGCATCATCTCATGGTGGAAGGTGGAAGGTGGAAGGGCAAGAGAGGGCATGAGAGAGAGCACAGGGGGCTGAATTTAGTTTATAACAAGCCCACTCCTGAGACAACTAACCCACTCACAAGAAAACAACATTAATTCTTTTATGAGGGCAGAGCCTTTGTAACCTAATCACCTCTTAAAAGTGCCACCTCCCAATACTGTTGCACTGGGGATTAAGTTTCCAACATACGAATTTAGGGGGACATGTTCAAATCATAACAACTGGTAAAGAAGTTAGCTAAGCATTTTAGGAGGCAGGAAGTGGAAGGGACAAGAGAAAGGCAAGGCAATGCATGTGTTTTTATTTATGACGGCACTCCCCGGCCCTAGCCTGGATGTGGCTCAATGTTTGCTGAATTGAAATGATTCACATGCATTTACTGTCTTAATTAGGCTGAAGGGATTGGAATGCATATGGTGATTCTGGAAGTCCCTTAGGGAGAAATTTGAAAGGTGGGGGCACTTTGTCACTGACACTCCTGGTCTTCCTAAAGTGCAAATAGAGTGCAGAAAGTGGAAGAATGAACAGGCTGATTCTGTTACTGCCACTACCACCTCTATGAGCACCATCTTAACCTCTTCTTCCACTTTTCCCCACCACCACATCCGACTACCACCACCACCGCCACCATTGCCATTATCTCCACCATTACTCTCACTACCACCACCATTACCACTGTCACCACCACCACCATCACCTCCACCACCATCACTGCCATCACCACCATTACCACCACCATCACCACCACCACCACCATCACCACCACCACCATCACCACCATCACCACCATCACCATCACCATCACCTCCACCACCACCACCACCATCACCACCATCACCACCATCATCACCATCACCATCACCATCACCACTACCACCATCACCAACATCATCACCACCATCACCACCATCACCATCACTACCATTACCACCATCACCACCACCACCACCACCATCATCACCATCACCATCACCATCATCACTGCCACCACCATGATCATCACCATCACCTCCCTCACCACTACCACCACCATCATCATCATCATTGCCATCACCATCATCATTGCCACCACCACGATCATCACCATCACTTCCACCATCATTACCACCACCATCACCATCATCACTGCCATCATCATCACCATCACCATCACCACCACCATCATCATCATCATTGCTACCACCACCACCATCACCATCATCACTGCCACCACCACCACCATCACCATCATCGCCACCATCACCACCATCACCTCCACCACCACTACCACCATCACCACTGTTACCATATACTGGACCCTTATGGTATGGCAGGCACCATACTCTACCACAGGCTTTGAAAGGGTTTAATCTTCATGACACTCCTATGTAGTAGAAATTATTAGTCCTATTCTACAGTGGAGGGGATCTAGTCTCAGAGAAGTTGAGAAAATTGCTCAAGATCACACAATAGAAGGCTGTAGAGCCAGAATTTCAACCCAGGTCTGGGTATTCTCCCAATAGGTAAGGCACGGTGCTCAGAAAGCTGCATTGTTGGACACGAGGCATATGCTGGGGGCTTGTTTTATGTGCTACTGGGCCACTGTTTGGGTACAAGAGGCTCGTGTGGGCTATGACCAGCACCGGCAATCTGTTTTCCCTTCCTTTCTCTGACATTCTTTCACACATTCTGAATCATATGGCTTTTCTGGTCAGAACAAATAAAAACGTTTCTTGTCCCCCCTTTTCGGAGCTTTGGGTGTTACTGTTTGCACACAGTTCTGGAAGCAGATGGAGCCTGATAGAAATCCCAGATGATAACGCAGACTCAGAAGCTCTGTGAAAACACCCATGAGTATAAATACCCTGAGTATATGAGAGAGAGGAAAAGAGGGAGGTTGGCATAGACAGAGACAGAGATGAGGATATAGATAGAGACAGAGAGAGAGATAAAGATAGAGACACACAGAGAGAGAAATAGAGAGACCCAGAGAAAGACAGAGATAGAGAGATAGAGATAGACACAGAGACAGAGAGAAATAGAGACAGAGAGGCAGAGAGAGGGTGTGAGCCTGGTGACACCTTTCACTGTTTGCATTTTTGGGTCTAGCTGGGCCACGACCACACTGGCCCTCCAGTTTACTCCGTGTTTCCTCGTTTATGGGCGAGTAGGGGAGTAGGGGTGCTGCTTTCTCCTGGGGAGAAGCTTCCCTGGTGCTAATAGCAAACACTCGCTGAGCACATTCTCTCTGTGCCTGGCCACCTCTTAGGGAGAACAGGTAGCCAGGCCTGTTCCCACTTCAAACACTCCCTCCCTTTCCCCCACTCCCTCCTTCCCCAACGCCCCTGCCCAATGCAATCTACTGCCCGTCTCTCCTAAAATGCTTACCTATATGCTCCCACTGGTGGAAAGGATCCTTGCAGAGCCCATGGCTCGATGTCAGAGCCAGGTGTCTCCACAAGAAGTCACAATTCACTGCCAGTTCCATAGTGTGAACTTTGGTTACATTTGGGTGTGGGTAGAAAGCATTCCCTGGAACTGTTACCCCAAAAGTCAACTTCCCTTGCATTCAGGTGGAAGCTCAGAGTACTGTGCCAAAATCACCAACAGTTACATCGAGTTGGAGCTTGATTAGGATTCTGACCCATAATAAACCACCTGGGAACTGGCTTTGCGGCGGCATATGGGCCCGAGGCGGAGTGGCTCAGCTGTCATATTCTGGAAGCTTGTAGCTCAGAATCTACTGAGAATGTTGCGTGGACACCTTGGTGTTGATGTCCTACTAGAGGAGGAATCATGGGCAAACATGAGTTTTCTGCAGCCCTCGCTCTCAGTTTTCCTTCTGAACTTTCCTCTGAGTTTCTGTCTGCTCCATCTGACTTTCAACTGCTTTTCTCCACCCTGCCTAGACTCTTGCAGGTAGCAGGGGCCATCCAAGAAGGTGGTGGCGCAGTTCAGAGGGCCAAGCCTGCGGCTGCATCCAATGCTGAGTCATTCACTTCCCGGAGCCTCATTTGTAAGCTGGGAATACTGGCGGTCTTCCCGCCTGGCCTGCAGGGGTGTTTGAAGGACAGGAAGGACTAACAGTCATAAAAGCACTTCTCAAAGAATAAAGTGCTATCTGAAGGCGGAGGGTTAATATTTCTCTTGTTACTGTTTGTGGTTGTTTCTCAGAGGTGTGGGTGACCAACAGCAGCTGGGGGATAGAGTGCAAAGGGTTCTTCTATATGTCCTTGACCTCTGTGACCTTGGCCAGGTTATTTCGAGCCTGAATATCTCCATCAATAAAATTGGGAAATAGTAATGCCATTGCCCTGGGCTTATGATTATATGATGGTAGGTCCCAAAGTCAGGATGCAAAGTGGGGCGCACAACAGGATATGGTCAGCTAGTGAGCAGAAGTCATACATAGGTGGAAGATGGAGGAAAAGAATCGTGCACATTGATTGCTCTCAGCAAGGGGGTGATCGTTAGCTTTTAAAAATTTGTTTGACTTTGTTTGTACTTTCTAGATTTTTCCATAATGCCAGCCTAAATTTTCCATAAAGCATTATCTTTACCATTTAGGATATTTAACAGAAAATCAAACTTGTGTCTTTAGCTTCTTTCCCAGGCTTTTGCTGCTGTCCATCTGTCTCCTCCCCTGGCAGCCTTCCCTAGCCCCTAGCAGAGCCAGCTCAGCCCAGCAGGGGTGGGTGGACAGGGACAGCCTCTGGGGAGACCCCAGAGGGCCCCGTTGCCCCCCAGTCTGAGGTGCCACCCTGCTGGAGTGGCCGGGCGGGGCAGCCTCTGTCGGCTGGGGCTGGTCTGGGAGTTTTACTCGAGGCCTGCTGCAGAGCGCTATCTCTTGTCCTCAGCCATAGTTCAAGACCACATTTAGACCGGAGCCCTTTGCAGGCTGTGACTGTGTACATTACCCCCTGCTGAGTTTCCCCCATGCACCAGCATCTTTGTGGGCAGTATCCCATTCAATTTTCCATCAGCCCTGAAAGGAGGATGCTGCCAGCAGCCCTGCTGATTTTGCCGATGAGGATCCTGAGGCTCAGAGAGGTTAAATAACTTCTCTACATCACACAGCCAGTTAGGAACTGAGCTGGGATTTGAATCTAAAGGTCTTCAAAGGTGCGATCCTTTCTGCCAGTGGGAGTATACAGGGAAGCATGTTAGGAGAGACGGGCAGTAGATTGCACTGGGCAGGGGCGTTGGAGAAGGAGGGGGTGGGGGAAAGGGAGGGAGTGTTTGAGGTGGGAATAGTTATGCAACCCCCACCTTGACCATATGTCAGTAACAAAAAGTGTGTCCCCGCTGTCCCTGCCCCGGTGACACAGAGGGAAGTTAGCCCAGTTTTCCTCGAGAGCAGGAGCAGCTGGGGGCTTTGTGGACCCTACTGATTCTAGAAAGTTCCCATAGTCTGGGTAAAAATTTCGCTTTTACTTAAAAATTGATATATTTCTTATAAAAACAATCTTATTTTCAACAGAAAAAGGAACAATGTGACTTGGTTAGGAAACAAAAATTGAAGGTGTAAGAAGTTGATGCGGAACAACATGAAACTTTGCTTCCTATCCTTGGCAGCTCCCCTAGGACATGCTTGGTTTGGGAGTGGCAGGTCACCCGTGAGCACGAGGGACGGATGTCTCTGGAGCTCTTCCTGGGGTTGCAGCATCCCCTGCAGGTTCGGGCTCTGCGGGGTGAGCGGGAAGGGGGCTGGCATTGTGGAGGGTCCACTGGGCGCCAGACCCTTCTGCAAGCTCTGCTGCCTCCTTCCAGCAACAACCAAGGCAGGGCGGGTGGCTGTACCGGTTCCTCTTCCCTCACGGAGTGTCCCCTTTTCCCAGAGGAGGAAAGTTAGGGAAAGCTAAGAAATGACGGTACAGGATTCCAACCCAGGACTCCCTGGGTTCAAAATTGCACGATAGTTCCATACCCGCTGGCCGCCCCAGGCAGGGCAGCAGCCCCAGACGAGAGAGGTCGTCTTTCCGCAGTTAAAATAGTAAAAGGCAAAGAGAGAGCTGTCACCGAAGCACACAGCCATGAAGGAGCACACAGTTCTCCTCCGGGCCACACTCCGAGCATGGGTTCCTCTTTCCCGCCAGGACAGGCGCGCCGCAGGCATCTGCCTTTGATTGGAATGGCCATGGCCGGGCAGAGACAGGAAACATACCTGTGGTCCAGGGCCTCTCTCCCACCTAGCAATGCCATTCACAGAGGGGGAAGAGGGAGAAAATATGGGAAGACAGGAAGGAGAAAAGTCAACGGACACATGGCAGCATCCTGGGAGGTAGGGTCACAGCCTGGGGGAGAGATAGGCCTCGGTCACGGGTCAGGGCACAAACACAGAGGCCCCGAGGCCTGATTTGCGGGAACCTGGCGCGCTGGCCAGGACACGGGAGGCTGCTGTGTGTGCAGCGGCGAGGGGGGGAGCCCTGCTGCTGAGGGCCGGGGCTTCTCCTTCTAAGCTGAAAGGAAAAAAAGGGCAAATCTTTCAGAGCTGCCCAGTCCCCCAGGCCTGGTACTTCTGGCTCCGGCCTCCTGCCGGGCCAAACACAAGGCCTTATGGTGGGGGCAGCGGTGACCTGCAGCAGGGTCAGGGCAGAACATTCTGGCCAGGAGTGACCCAAAGAAGAGATTCACGAGGTCCTGGCAAATGCTGGGGAGTGAGGGCCCTAGACCCACCCTCTCCTCTCTGCCTTTGGTAGTTAAAAACGACGCCCTTGACCTGCTGGTGCTTTGGGAGGCTTGTTGGGTGTGGAGGTGGCTTCCCGTGGCTTCTGTCCCAGTGTCGGCCTGGCCAGCTGTCCTCCAGGGAGTGGAACTGCTGTGTTCAAGGTAGCGCTTGGTGCATGTGGGAGAGAGCAGGGGGCACCCACGGAGGGCAGGGAGACAGGCGCGGACCCGGCCCTGCACCGTCAGCTCGTTCAGCCCTCAGGTACCCCTCTCCTCAGGTGTGGGGGTCTGCACGCGCGGGTGAGAAACGGAGA